TTTTTTTTTTTTTTTTTTTTTTGATGTTATTCTTAGGATCTTGCTCTTTCCTTGTATTTTCATAAGAAATTCTAAGAGAAGGTGATGTATCTGTTGTCTAAGTGAAGATTTCTAGTCTTCTAGTCTAGTGATAAAAGGAAAGGTAATTGCTTTATCCCATCTCTCAAGTTCAATAAATTTTTCCTCTATTGAACACCTGAAATAACTGTATTTTATCATTTAAAATAGCTGATCTTGCCGGCTTAATTCTTTTAAGTTTGGCATTGCAGTCAAAACAGTAAAAACTGGCATTGATATTGGAGGAAATATAATAAACCCTATAAGACTGACTTTTGAGTGGGTTTATAATGGTACATACGAAATGAGTAAATTAACAGCAAGGCAAAGTAATTGAGGATTTGATGACGCCATTTAATTTTGGAATAGAATGTTGATTCTCCTTTGCTTTGATTTAATTGCATCAATCTCTTCATCAATTAAAATTAATATTGATTTTACAGAGGAACTCCACTTCCCAAACTCATCTCTATAATTTTATGATTCGGTAACTGAGACCGCTCCTCCTTCGGAGACCATTTCTACATCCGAGACCGATCCTGCATCCCAATCACCACCAAAACAGTAACTGTAGGATTGCCAATTCTGGATTTCTTCATCAGAAACACGAAATGACACATCTTCGTAGGAATAGCCAGCATGAGGATTGACAGCCTTGATAACCAAGTCGGCTTTCTCCTGCAGTTTCAATGCAAGTTCTAAGGTTACCTCAACTTCTCCCATTGAAGGCCGTTCATTTGGATTTAGATGAACACAATTGAGAGCGATCTGCACGTATTCTATCAAACAGACCGGTGCTATCTTCCCTTTCAGAAATGGATCGATCATATTATGAACACAGCCATTTTTTATGCATTCAGTGATCCCTGAAATCAAACCCACTGGCTCTCCCTCAAAGTCAATTATCCTACCAGTACCACCACACAATACTTCCAACAGAACAACACCCAGTGAGAACACATCAACTTTTTCACTTAATTCATGACCTCTCATGAAATTCTCTGGAGCCATATAGCCCAAGGTACCTCTTGTTGATGTCATCATTTCTGCGAAAGCGTTGGGCTTAGGCTTTGAGATGCTAGAGGGACCAATGTTGGATAACCCAAAATATGAAAACTTAGCATCCCAATTTTCGTTCAGAAGAATACTGTGAGACTTGATATCGCGGTGAATTATTGCATACTTTGCACCTGTATGAAGGTAGTGTAATCCACGAGCTGCCCCAATACATATCTCTAGTCTCCGCTTCCATGGGAGTGGATCAACATTCCCAAGAAGAAGACCATCCAATCCCCCATGGGTCATATGTTCATACACAATGATCCTCTCATCTTTCTCGTGACAAAACCCGAGGAGACAGACAAGATTCTGGTGGCGCAGCTGGCAGAGTAACTGTACCTCATTTCGGAACGCTTTAACTGCTGGCCCTGACGATGGGCCACTCAAGCGTCTGACAGCAACAACCAAGGAGCCGCCATCAATAAGGCCTTTGTACACTGAGCCAGAACCACCTTTACCGATTTTCAAATCACCATCAAAGTTGTTGGTGGCAGCTTGGAGCTCAGCTAGTGAAAATTGACGACATAGTCCCTCTGAAAGTGCTGAACTTTTTCTTCCCCTTTCTTCAACTGATGTTTCCTTGAGAAATTTGACGAAATTTTGAAGAGACATTGAGTTGTGGGTTTCTTTTTGATAGAAGTAGCAGGGAGGGAGGGCAAATCTGCATCGCATTTGGATTATGTCGGTCTTAATTTCCTTTTATTTCAGAGTTACTAAAAAGTCAACGAAATCACAAACTTTTGTCTTCTACTTAAATGAAACATCCAGGTAATTTCCGAGTAGGTAGGTCCCTCCTAGTTGCTTTCTTGTTGAAAAGTCAACGAAATG